TCTGTGGGCCCCCGGGGAGCACCAGGGCCGCTGCCGGGGCTCTGAGGGGTCAGAGGGTCCGAAAACGGGGCGCGAAGTGCACAGGGTCCAGCCGGGCGTCCGCGGCGCCCACCCTGCCCACCAACAGCCCAGCAGCGCTGGACGGGCTCCCGCGGGGACCCAGCGCCCGTCTCCCAGCACCCCAGCTCCTCGCCTCGCCCGCGCCGCCCGGCCGCCACTCAGGGTCACGTGCACCCAATGGGCCAATCAAGACCGGCAAAGCCCGCTGGTCACGCGTCCCAAATGGGCCAATCAAGACCGGCAAAGCCCGCTGGTCACGCGTCCCAAATGGGCCAATCAAGGCGGGCAAAGCCCGCTTGTCACGCGTCCCAAATGGGCCAATCAAGGCTGGCAAAGCCCGCTGGTCACGTGCCCTGTGTGGGCCAATCATGGCCGGTAAAGGAATGCCAGTCCCTGATTGGCCCAGCTGACATGGCTTTTGACCAATCGCCCAGGGCCAGGAGGCGAGCCGTGAACCAGCCCACCTGGGGCGTGGCTCCCCCGGGCGTGTCGCGGGTTGCGCAGGGGCCGGCGGACGCTGGCGCTTCCCTAGTGCTCTCGCTGCGGGCACTGGGCAGGACGCGCCCGCTTTCCCTTCGGGTGCCCGCGGAGGGTGACTGTCCCCACGGGGCTGTGGGTCTCGGGGCCTCACTGCACATTAGGGGGGCACCGAGCAAGGTACCCGAGGCCCTGCCCCCGGCGTGTTTAGCATCTGGGGCTTCGCGGGGGGCACCTCCCCCTTTTAATTTTCTTTCTTTTAACGTTTGTATTGATTTCAGAGAACGGGAGGGAAACATCGACGACGAGTCCTTGGTCGGCTGCCTCCTGCGCGCCCCAGCCCGGGCCTGTGCCCTGACCGGAGGGAACCTGACCTCCTGGGTCACGGGGCGACGCTCACCCGCTGAGCCACGCCCGGGGGGCGACGCCCGTTTCTGAACGACGGTCTTCTCTGCCGCCCTCTGTGCCCCCCAGGGCGCTGCCGCCCGCCTCGGGCTCCCTCCTGTCCCCTTCTGCCCCAAGCCCTCGCCACGCAGCTGCTGCGCACGCTCCACGGAGCCGGGGGCTGACACCCTGGGTGGGGCGACAGCGCCCCCCACATCAGGGGGGGGGCACGAAGGGCCGCGGCAGCGCCCCCCACGGGGCTCAGGGAGGGGGGCACGAAGGGCCGCGGCAGCGCCCAGGACAGCGCCTCGCGCCCGGCCCCGAGGGCGTGGCCTTCAGACCCCCACGCCGCTCCCTGCACACAGGCCTGAGGGCTGTCCACCAGGCCACGTGGGAAGTAGTGGGGTTCAGGCTCCAGACACTCAGGCCACATCCCAGCTCGGGGGCTCCCTAGCTACCCGCCAGGGCCACTGCCTTGGCGCCGCTGGGAGCACCTGCCCTCCTACCCCCGGGGGCAGGGCCACTCAAATTACTTGTATTCGCAGATAATGGTTTGGCTACAGACCACGGAAGCCCCATCGAAAGCCACTTAAGCCATAGCCGTGTGGCTCCGTGGTTAGAGCCTCAGCTGCAGACTGAAGGGTCCCGGGTTCGGCTCTGGCCAAGAGCATGTACCCCGGTTGCAGGCTCCATCCCCGGAGGCAACCAGTTGGTGTGTCTCTCTTCCGACGTTCACTGTGCCCGAAGGAAAGGAATCCTTCAGCTGCACTGCGACCCCCAAACAGGCTCTGAGAATGGTAAGTCAGAAATGACTTTAAGAACAGCGTTTTCTATTTTGCTTGGAATCTGTGTCCAAAAAACTGGCACCTCTCCTAACGAAAGCACCTCCAAGGAGCACCGGGGGCTGTTCCAAGGGGACCCTTAGCTGCTCAGAGCTGACAGCGGTGTCGGGGTCGGGGAGCTGTGGGAACGGACGGTGCAGCTGCCCCCGCATAGAACAAAAGGACCAAGTGCCAAAGCAAATCAGCAGCACATGGATCAAAAAAAGTTTATTTTGAATGTTTAATTTAAAAAAATCATACCTATGAGGTGAGCTACAGAAAGTCAGACACAACTGCATAGAAACCCGACCAAGCAGTGAAGCGGAGGCTGCAGACATATCCTGGAAAGGAAATTTGCCGATGTCCCAACACCACGCTCTCCAGGCGCCCTGGAGACAGGCTGTGCCCCTGGGCTCTGCGGGGGCGACAGCTCCGCACACCGGGTCCACGGGGCTGCCGTGGGAGTGTCCTGGGTCGGAGCAGCACTCATTCACTTCCTGCTTTTCGCCACGTCAGCCATCAAATTTTACTGTCACTTAAGTTGATACTTTGGCAAACAGAGCTCACTCCCCTTACGGGAAGAGCTCCTGGCAGTTTAGGAGAGAAGGCACCTGCATCCTGTAGCCAAGTGGCCGTTTCCACACAGCAGACACGTGTCCGAGTGACATGAGCCCAGCACAGGCCTTCGGGCTGGGCGTCCTATGGGCCTGGAGCTGGAGCCCCAGGGACGGCAGTGTTTATGGAGCTGGGAGACACTGCATCTCAGGGACAGGCGGGGCTCAGCAGCCCTCTTGGTGTCCAGGGCGTCAGGAGGTGAGGGACGGAGGGCAAGACAGGGAGACGCAAGACAAAAGACCAGGGGCATTACTAAACTCCGGTCCTGTGGGATTTCTCGGGCGACAGGTCCTTCCATCCGATGCTGAAGCTCATGTGCTTTCTAGAATTCCCTCAATTCACAGTGTCCACCAGCCCCTCCCTCCTCCAAACATGGAGACTCGAAAGGGACCCCTTCAGGGACAGTGACTCCTGCCTGACACCCACACAGCAGTGGTTAAAGCGCCGGCGGTGAAGTAGGTCTCATTTGTCCTGGGGTCTCCCGCTGACCGTGGGGCGAGGACAGCATGTACTCAGAGGAACTAAGGGCCCCAAAGTGGCTCCACGTGATAGTCAGTTTGGCAGAAAGGAAAACACCTCGAGTGCATAGAAACGATCCCAAGTCCTCCCAGGAACACAATTACAGTATATTAGCAATTTCTGCGGCATAAACTCTCAACAGCATCAGCAGAGTATTAAATATAAAGCAACATGGAGCCTCCCTCCCCCCGAGCCCCACGCAGGGCGTGGTGGCAGCCGGCCACGGTGGCGCCTACTGCCGCAGCTCCACGTAGTTGGCCGGGAAGAGCCCGTACCTGCCCTTGCACAGCCCGCGCCACCAGCCATCATCGATCATCTCAATGTTGGTGATGATGTCGTCGGGGTCGAAGGAGATTTCGTCATCGCCAGCTAGGGAAAGGCACAGAGAGGACAGTGAGAGGACGGTTCCCTGCTTGGCCGGAGGAAGCAGCCCAGTGGCCACTGGCCTGGAGGGTGGAGGGTGCCTTCCTGAGGGGCTGGGTCCTTGGTTTGGGGAAATTTGCACTGGGGTCATTAGGGGATATTGGGCACCCAGGTTACTACAATTTCAGACCTCAAATGCTCAGAGAAATACAGGGTAACAGATGTGTGTGCGTGTGTGTCTAGATGGAGAGGTGGAATTTCTGTAATTAAAGTTATTTCAAAGTAAGTTATTTTTTAAGGATTATACTATTTTTTAAGGATTGTACAAAAGTCAGATTTCTGAGATGAGTGGGCCAGCCAGGAGTGTAGCCGGGACCCGCCCCGCCCATGTGCCCCTCTCCTCACCAGCCTGGTAGTCATACAGGGCGATGGCCGTGATCCCCAGGTCGTTCTCATATTCATCATAGGTGTTTTCCTCTAAAAACAAACCGAGACAAGATCTGAGAGGACTAAATGGTCCCAGACATTCTCACCTTTTTTTTTTTTTTAAATATCTTTATTGATTTCAGAGAGAGGAAAGGAAAGGGAGTGAGATAGAAACATCAATGCTGAGAGTGTCACTGATCGACTGCCTCCTACACGCCCCTGACTGGGGATGGAGCCCGCAACCCGGGCATGTGCCCTGACTGGGAATCGAACCCCTATCGCCTGGATCCTGGGTGGACGCTCAACCGCTGAGCCACGCTCAGCTGGGAAACATTCTCACTTCTGAGGCTCGTGAAGGTGGGGAACTAGCCAGGCAGGAGACTCGCCACAGCACTGAGCACCCCCCGGGAAGGCAGACTGTGGGGCGCCAGGTGCCTCCAGCAGCAGATGGACCCCAGCATTGAAGGAGCAAAGCCCCCGACTCCCAACTCCAACACCACCAGGTACATATAATTTCCTTGCCAGCTTTGAGTAGAACTGTTCAATTTTAACATCTGGCCCTTTCACAAGGGCTGCATCGTGACAGGTAAGTGGAAGGGGAGACTAGGATCCCGGGCCTCACGTCACTCTCAGGGAGAAGGTGAGCACCTTGCTGACACCACTGTCTGCTACCCAAGGGAGTGACTGGGCCTGTGATCAACCTGCACTCACAGACCAAAGGAAACGTCATCTTAAAATGAGACTGGTCTTAGTGTTCGTCCAGCTGAAGCATCTATGAGGATTTCAGAGCATATGAATCACCTCTGCAGACCAGGGGGTTCGCTGGCTTGAGCTGGGCTCTGGAAGACGCCCTGAGCTGCTACTTTAAGGGGATAGCAACAGAAGCCCCTCCTCCCTGCCCACCCCTGCCCAGTGCCCCCAGCACAAGTGGAAAGCTTCCAGGAACTCTCCGGAAGGCTGCGCCAAGCCCCCAGGGGTCTAGAGCCCATGCTGGCAGGAGATGCAGGCGCTGCAGGCACAGGCAAGGGGCAAGCCTGTCATTGGGAAATGGAGACAACCTTCCCAGAGGAACAGAGGCAGAGTGAAACAAAACAGGGCCCCTCCCCAGCCTAGCAGGCGCCCCCGTACCTCCTGGGTAGTGGCCCGGGGCCTCTGCGGGTTCGTAGACTGCCTCGGGGGCGTAGGCCAGGCCCTGCTGGCTGCCTGCCTCCCGGTAGTCGGTGGCCTCCCTGCTGTACACAGGCTCGGGCTCACTCACGGGGCCTCTGCAGCTCGGCTCAGCCTTGAATGAAGCTGCATCCTGGGGAGAGTCAATGGGACGTCTCACGACCTGTCACTGACCTGGGTAACTGACATCTCACTGTCCCCAAGGCACTGAAAGAACAGGCAAGGGCCTGAGGGGCGGGACCTGCTGACACTCAACCTGGGGCCAATCACAGAGGGTGCTGTGGAGACCGGATGCACCTCCTCCTGAGTGACCCCCACACCCAGCGCCCAAGTCCTGCAGTAACTGAGACCACGGCCTGTCGGGAACTGATACCAGGTCACAGCCAGTCTGGCCTGGGCAGGTGTGTCAGTTCCTTTGCAGGTCTAGGACCTCCGGGGCCGCCAGGCCCTCAAGCCCAAGAGCAGCTTCACAATGTCACCCAGTCTGCGGCCCCGGGGCTGTCCTACCAACCCTCAGCGCGGTCAGGGAGGGACCAACGAGTCAGGAGCAAGTATAGGTCTTGGGGGAAATCCACACTGTGGTTCACACGAGTGTGACTCCTGAGCTCCGAGGGCAGTTCTCAACTGCTCAGTATCCACAGTGGCTATGCAGATGGAGGATGGGGTTCAGGGCATGACCGGGGCGAAGAACTCCTAGGGACCCCACTGTGGGTGAGAGCGCCCGAGGCAGGTGGCTGTCCCTCAGAGACCAGGAGAGCATGTCCCTGGGACGTGCAGTGGGCCACAAGGCACCAGTGACAGGACTGAGGAGACGGCATTCAGGGGGCGCAGAGGGAGCGGAAACTGGAGGCCAGCGCAGCGAGGCGCGGAGGCCAGCAGGGAGCGTGGCCAGAGTTGGAGCAGTGGGGGGCAGGTAAGACAAACACAATCACATGACCAGGTGGCGTCAGGAGACCTCACTGGGGGACAGTGGGCCGGGTGAGGCGGGGACCCTGTCCACTGTGGCACCGAGCTGGGACGGGTGTCCCTGGGGAGTCAGACTCACGTGCAAACTGAATGATACACTAACCTCATAGATGGGGCTGGAAGGCTGCCTCTCCTGCACCGGCTGCGGAGTGGGGGACACTGGCGGGCTCTGCCTCTGGGCTCGGGCTTGCTCCTGCAACAGAAGCAGCAGTGGTCAGATGCTGCCAGGCCACAGGGTGACCCACAGGATTCTGGAAGCTCACACCTGAGCCTGACGCAGGCCTACTGCCAGAGGGAAGGTTTTAGGAGCAAGTCTGTGGTGAGCCCCGCGGTGGGGCGAGCACTCTCCAGAGGCCCTGAGGCCGCAGCTCCCGCCACCACACGACCCTGGCTTGTGTAAGGTGCGATCAGGAGGCGACGGGACTGTACCTCGTAGCTCCGAGCCTCGCCCACACCCAGGGCAGGTGACTCAGATGGTGAGAGGTGGGACTCTGGGCCGATGCTACAATGAACTGAGATTTTGGGGACTTTAAATTGGAGTGACTATTATGCATGTAATGGACGTGAATCTTTGGGGGCCAGATGGTGGACTGTGGTGGACAGAACAACAGCCTCTCAAAGACACTGACATCCAATCCCAGGTCCTGTGACTACGGTGTCACATAGCAAAAGTGTCACACGCAGACGTGAGGGGACGGTCTGAGGCAGGAGGCGTGTCACCCATCACAGGGCGATACAGGGGGAGGCAGGTGGTGACAGGCAGGCTAGGACACCCAACGAGAAAGCCAAGGCTGGCAGGGGCCACGAGCAGAGTGTGGCGCCTCAGGAGGCTGGGAACGCCTGGGGAACAGGCTGTGCCCTGCCGCCCCAGCAGCAGCCGACTCCTGTCAGAGCCGTAACACGACAGAGGTGTATCGCTTCAGGTCACTGTGCGCGGTCATCGGACGCAGCAGCACTGGGCCAGTGCTGACGGCAGCAACGCTGATTCTTCTCCAGATCAGAGTTGAGGAGACGGGTTCGAGAGCAGGTGGGTGGCCCGCCTGGGGACACGCGCCAGGGAGCGTCCTTTACCAGGCTCCTCTCGTGGGCTGTGGTGGGGCTGCCCCACAAAGACACCCATCCCTGCGGCTGGGTCAGGCCTGTGCTAGCAGGACAGTCACAGACTCTTCACGTGGAACCGTAAGGGTCCACGACCTGGGGCAGGAGGGTGTTTTTTGTGTCGGGTTTTTTTGTTGTTGTTTTTTTTGTTTGTTTTTTTTTTTCACGACAATGAGAAAACCACAGCTTATCTCACGTGCAGGGACCTTAGTCCGACACTGCATTTCGCTCGCACAGACGTTTGCAGGTTCGGACATGCTCAGGGGCCTGAGAAGAGGCCCGCGTCTTGGACGGTGTGTGTAGATAAAGCCACCGTCTGCCCGGGCTCCCGACAGAGCACGGGAGGGGGACGACGTTCTCTGGAAGGGGCTGTGCCTGGGCGGGCCCCGCATGGGCCCAGGAGGCTCCTAGTTCACACCTGAATCCTGAGGGCCTACGGCGGCAGCTCTCCCGTCCCCGGGGTGCAGAGACCCCTCCGGAGCAGGGCCGGGAGCCCCGCCATGAGCGCCTGTGCGCGAGTCCCCGGGAAGCCCGGGCGTGCGGCCGGAGCTCCCGCACAGCCGCGCCACGTGCGGGCGGCGGACCGCGAACCAGGTCCGGAAAGGCAGGGAGGCGGGCGGGCAGGGCTGCACACAGGACACTCCGGGGAGGGGTTTGGGGACCGCGGCCCTACTCACGTCCAGCTGCCGGCGAGCCTCCTCCTGCTCCCGCCTCTCCTTGGCCATCCGCTGCGCCCTCTCGGCCTCCGCCCGCCGCCTGTCCTCCTGTTCCTTCTCCTTCGCCAGGTTTTCGAAGTTGGCTCTGATGTTGCTGGTCTTGGTGTTGGCTACGGCGGGGAGGGGAGGAGAGATTTCCCTCTGCCCTCAGACGCCACCAGCGCCCAGGACGGACAAAGCCCCGTGCAGGTTGACCGATCCCGCGGACACCAGGCAGCCCTGAACCGACCGACAAGGGAGCCGGCCCCCAGCTGCCGGCGTCCGGCCCCCCTCCCACGAACCAGCCTGCAGAGACGGGAACCACGAGCCTTGCACTTGGCATATTTTATATTCCACACATCACTGTGTCCCAACCACACGCTCCAGAGGGAAAACCCAATTCCCCAAGGCGTGTCCCCGAGCACCCATCTTCTCCTTTGCGGGTTGACAAGGGGAGGGTGTACACACGGCTGCCCACGGGAGGCTGGGGCCTCAAGGAGACACGTCTGCGAGTCTGGGCTGCAAGCTGGGCTCCCTGACTTGCACAACTTTGGGATGGGTGTTTCCCCAAACACACACACCACCTCTCAAGTCAAGAAAAACAGCCCCAGGACTTGCTGTGGACGGGAAAATTCAGGTTTCAAGCAAAACCTGATGCAGAAAGGTCGTACCCACTCCTGCGAGCGTGACAATGTCCCAGTGTTATTTAGCACCCACGGTAACACTGGTGATGGTGTCACTGAGTGCAGTGTATAGCGAAACGAGGCTCAATATCTGGAGGTCAGCATAGCGCCGAGACCCAGAGTTTTCCAAATGACAATACGTGTTACAAATCGTCCCAAGCAGGAGACACCCTTGGGACACCACAAGGGCCCCGCCTGGGGCCATCGGAAGACCACCCGAAGGGCTCTGCACAGGCTCTGGGAGGCCCTTCCAAGGGTGTGGAGAGCCCATACCCTCCTCCAGCAACAGGCCGAGTGCAGACGCAGCTGCAAATAGGTGAGTGTCCCCGGTGAGGAGGCTCACAGGACGCAAGCCAACGCCACCTCCGGCTCCTCTCGTTTTGTAGTGATTTTTGCATAAACAGCATTACCAATATGAGATGGTTTTACCATTTTTAAATCAAGCAAACTTTAAATTCTTCTGTTTAAATTCAGAGCCAGCGCCTGGCCTGCGTGGCTGAGCAGTTGAGCATTGACCTGGATCTAGGAGATCAAGTTTCGATTCCCGGTCAGGGCGCTTGCCTGGGTTGTGGGCTCGATCCCCGGGGCAGGGGGGGGCGTGCAGGAAGCAGCCGATCACTGACTCTCTCTCACCACTGACGTTTCTCTCTCTCTCCCTCCCTCTCTCTTCCTCTCTCTGAAGTCACTAAAGATACATTTAAAAATTAACTAAATAAATGAACTCAAGCCCAGCAAAGATCTAGCCATCACGCACGTACACAGAAGCTCTCTGGGACCCTTGACTCCTACGCTCACCCACGGGTGCTGAGAGCACGGGGCCTGAGAACTGCTGGCCATAGGCGGCCACAGTCAACACCACGGGGTGCTCTGCTTCCTGGTTTTAATTTACCACTTTACACCACGTGCAATGTTTCCCCAACTACACGGTGCTCTTTAGGGTGCAGCCCCTGGAACTGAACTGTCGCCCCACAGACCCTGGACAGCAGGCGGCCTTCCACACAGCAGTTACCTCCGAGAACAGACCATGTGACCTGGTCCTGGGCCTCACTTGAGCAGAGGAAAGCAAATCCAGTCACTTGTGGCAGGGGTATCCTAGCCAAGGCTCAACGGCTCTCTGGTTCACTGCCTGGCTGGGGCTGCAGGACTGGCCACCCCCACCCTCCAGAACCTGGTCCCAGAGGGGAGGAGGCCTCTGTGGACCTGCCATTCGCCCAGCTCCACTTGGGAAAGCACCCCCCAAGCTGGCCCACTGCTAGGGAGCTGCCTTGGGCTGAGTCTGAAAGGTGCCCTGACGTCCATGCAGTATCCATCAGGGGGAATCAAATCTTCCCGGGGGCCATGCAGGACAGCGGTCACCCATGCTCCACCTGCTCCCACCCAGGTTCTCCCAACTGTGCCCTCCCCTCAGCATCCCCATGGGACACCACGGCGCTGGCTCACCTGCTTCAACAGGGATCGTCTTCTGGTAGGTGGAGGGCACCTTGGCAACATCCTCAAAGGTGGAGGCATTCTACCGAGACAGGACCGGGAAGTCAGAGGGCACGCTTCCCTCACACCATGCAGCGTGCACCCTGCGCCCACGCTGAAGAAAGCCCACCCCGGACCTTCCAAAGGACCAGCCAGGGAGCCCATGGGCTTCATATCTGCCTCTCTGTCTGCGAATTAACCGAGGTGTGGAAAAAGTCCAAGATACGCGTGCAGGTGATCACAAACGTCAGAGTCAGAACAAGAAATCCACCTCTGGGGGGGGTGAACAGGCGGGGGCCCCGCCGATCTCCAGGACCTGGACTACTCTGCAGGTGCTATGATGGGGACACACACACCTTCCAGACCCACCAAGTGGATGACACCAAGACCCGGGCAGTCACCACACCTCCCCTAAGCCTCAGGCTCCCAAATGCACACCAGGGACAGGGGGTGGGGGGAGAGGGAGGAGGCACAGGGAGAGAGACAACCTCGCTTGCAGGATTAACGAGGCTACACCACACAAGACAGCCCACACACTTCCTGCCACAGCATCACAGGGAGGCGGTTCTGTTCCCGCCACTGACAGAAACCAGTCACAGCCACGTGGGGCCCTTCACCTCCTGCCTGAGGCCCCCACTCTGTCTTGGCCAAGGCCACCTCCCAGGAACCACACGTTCCTCACACCGCCCAGGTCTCCCGCCCTACACCTCGCCAGGATGTTTTGGTCTCTTCCATCTGCAAAGATTCACTCCTTCGGCCCTGATCACCCAGACTACTCCAGGAAGTGGGCCAGAGCTGGCCGTCTCCGTGGCTCCCTGCCCCACATGGTCCGGGACCCTGTCAGCCAGCCTCCCCCATGAACTTCCCCTTAAGACCTCAAAAAATGTCCTCACCAGGACTGCAAGGGCCACACACCGTGTGCCCAGACGGGATGCCACCAGCAGCACTGCCAGGCCAAGGTGACCCTCCCTCCTTCAAATGCAGCCCTTGGACCAGCACTGCCAGACCCTGTAGGCAATTCCGACTCCTCGCACCAGCCCACCTGCTGTGGCTCTGGGTCCCTGGCCACTCCGCAGGCCCCTGGAGGCCCAGCCCACCCCTAGTCCAGCTGCAGCCTCTCACCTACCTGCCCCACCCACGGTGGACTCACCTTATCAGCCCTGCCCCGACCAAGTGCTCAGCAGAGGCCGCCCCTTCACCTGGATGGTCCTACGCTTCCTCTTCACCCCACCAGGCCCACAGGCTTCACCACCCACCCTGCCCAAGTCCAGGCTTCCCTCCCAGGCCACCTTCCCCGGCCCAGCATCACTGCACCTCGCAAACCACAGAGCCACCTTCTACCTGGGGCCACGGCCTCGAGCTCCGCGCCCCCACCCACGTCCACACTGCAGCAGGGCCTTCTCAATGGGGTCCACCCGAGGCTCAAACTTCACAAAATGAATGGAAGGCCTGCAGGGCCCCGGGGATGGGTCCTACCAGCTCCTCACACCCACCACCTCGGCAGCGCCACCCTAAAGCCCCCCAGCTCCTCAGCATCGCACTGTCCTGTCCATCAGCTTCTTACCAGCAGGGTGACGACACCCCGCCGACTGAAACATCTGCCCTTCTGAAAACACAAGCCCGGCGCCCACCTGAGACCACGCCCGGGAGAGCGTCGACTCCAAGCACTCTGTGAGCCCCGAACCTGCCGGCAGAAGCGCTAGGCCCCGGGCTAGAAGCTCACCTTGTCCATGCGGTCCTTCTGCACCCCGTACTTCCCGCCGAATCCTCTGGAGTAGTCTGAAAGGTGCACAACACAAACTCTCAGGGCAAGGACAGGACGGGCGATGGCAGGGGCGCGACAGGCCCAGAAACAGCTGGAAAACGCACCCGCGGGAAGAGGGGCGAGAAGCACCACAATGCGCCTTCCGCATACCACTCAGACGTGGGAGAGGAGAGGTGGGCATGCTCCCCAGGGCTCCGAGGGACAGTGGCCCAGGGGACGCGCCGGCCCGGCAATGAGCCCTCCGCCTGCCCGCCCTGTCCCCCAGCCCCACCGCTCTGTGAGCCTGGGAAAGGCTCAGCCGCAGGCTTCCTCTTGCTTTTTGAAAGGAAGTCCAAGGGCCAATTCTACCAGGGAAACACTATGTGACAGTCACACCATCCTGCGGTACTGACGCCACATGGAGCCACGGCCATCACCACGTGGTCGTGGGACCAGCCTGAGCGCGTCCGCCTGCCCTCCCCGTGTCACGTCTCTCCACGGCGCGGACAGCCCGGGGCGGCCTGCAACTCAGGGCCGCGCGTCTCCCACAAGTCCAGGCTCTGAAACACAGGTCCCCATTCTGACGGCAATTAAGTGACCGCTTGAAGGGAAGATGCGTCCGCCACTTGGACGACCAGCCTACACACCCAGAAACGTCCTGTCTCCCGCAGCCCTGTGTGCCCCCCGCTGGGCTCTATGAGAGCTCACAGAGGTGGTGCCATCCAAACACGAAACGGAAATGCCTCCCGCCCGGAACCAAACACACCACAGAAGAAACAATGAAACCGCCCAGAACGGGCCTGCACCAGGCCCTCGCTGCCGCGGACCAGACCCGCGGCTCCGTGGCCCGGAGGCAGTAAGGCGGCCTCCTCGATGGCCTCGGAGTCACGGTCAACAGCGAGACCTGCTGCAGGAGGCACTGGGAGATCAGGCAGCCCACTCGAAATCGGCCACGATATGGGGCTGGAATGACCACATTTCACACCAAAAAAATCCCAGAGGTGGTGGGGAGACGTGAATGGGAAAGAAGGGTGCCAGTTACTATCGATCCTGCATAAAACCCCATCGACAATGCCCAGGCGCCCCGACAAGTGACCCGTCACTTGGGGGCTGGGCCGGGAAGTCTGTGCTGGGCGTGGCTGCACTGCAGGGGCAGGAAGGGTGGGGTGTGGGCACGAGCACTGTGTCCTGCTGGGACTCGGGCTGGACCAGTCTCTAGGAGCAAGGGCAGGAATCTGACCCACGGCTGAGACGGCAGCTCTGCAGAGCACAGGGACTACAGAGCCAACCCCCGGGGTCCCTGTCACAGGTGGGCTCATGAGGTTAATGGACGAACTTAACATCTGAACACTTCTGCCCAGATCTGAAATCGGGCTGGGAGCCGTGTTTGAAACAATCCACTAAGCTAGTCTACGCTGCGAGGTCTTTCTAGGGTCCTGCCCATGCAGAGAACAAGACTCTAGTTGTGCAGACAGTCTCGTCGCACACAGCCTCACACGGAATGTCACCAGCACCACTCCCGGCTGCTGGGACGTCTGGGCGACACCGCGCCCCCAGGGACAGGTTTCGTTCTGATCAGAAAACACTCTGGGTAAAGAGTGTGTCCCTTCACAGGCTGCAGCACACGTATCACCAAGAGCTCACGGCCGGGGCACTCAGGGCCCTCTGGCTGCATGGAGAGCAGAACACAGCGCCCCAGGGACACTTCGGCAATGACCGTGTGGGACTGAAGGTCAACAGTGTGGGACAGGAGGTCAGCCACTTCAGTGGCCGAAGTCTTCTCAAAACTGGGGGAGGCAGACAACCCCAAACATCAAAGACCACCCCACTGCTGCAGAAACACAGCACGAACATGCTGGGCACGGCGCGGCTCAGGTTCCTCGGCACAGCAGGGCAGGCACGGCAGGAGCCTGCGGAGGAGACCAGCCAAGCCCGGGCCCCGAGCCCGAGCGGGAGAGCGCGGTACCTTTCTGGGAGTCGTGCAGCTCTGGCTTCTCCTGGTGGTCCCAGCCCAGCGCACACTTGTCCTGTCTGTCGGTCTGCACTCCAAACTTCCCTCCAAAGCCCTTCACGTAGTCTACAGGCACAACAGAAGGCCATGAGCTCGGGGCAGGGAGAGAGCATGTGTCCAGTGCACCGAACACAAACACCCGCCTGAGCCCGCCCTCCGCTCCCAGGGCTGTGGCCGAACTCTGGGTGACACAGAGGACCTCCTGTAGGAGTCGGGAAAACAACCTCACCTGTGACCTCTGTCTTGTAAATAAACAGACAGGGGCCACATGGGACACTCCTAGGCTTTGACACTGCCACGGCGTCACCATTTACACACACAGATGTGCCACATGACCGTCACCACACGCAACACCCCGGAAGTCAGAGCCTGCGGAGCGGACACGTGACTTCTATGCGGCAGCTGTGTGGACGCACTGCTGTGAAGCTCAGTATCTAACTGGGGGCGTCTCCTCTGAGGCTGCTGGCAGGCTGTGGGCCAGGTCTCAGGCCAGGTGACGGCTCATCTCCACCCAGCCGAGCCCTGTCGCGCCAGTGCTGCTGGGGGCAGTGAGGTAAAGCTAGGGCACCTTTCTGGGACTCGTGCTTCTCGGTTTTGCCTTGATACTCGAAGCCGACGGCGCTTTTGTCCACCTTGTCTTTGTCAATGCCGTACTTGCCCCCGAAGCCTCTGGAGTAATCTAGAAACAAGAAAGTGCTGTTTGCTCACCAGCAATGACACCAAGGAGCACGCGTGGGGCTCAGCAGCCTCAGCAGACTTTACCACTCAAACAGAAGTCGCTCAGGCTCACTGAACAATCAGGGAGCAACATGGGAGGTACTTCAGCTCCTACTTATGTGAGATACAAACAGGAGCAGCAGCGACACAGCAGGTTAACACCTGGGGCATCTCTCCTTCCTCCCTAAAGAGGGCATGAAACGACCGCTCAGTACAAAGCCCGAGATGGGACAGGCCACAGCGGCAGGCTCTGAAGGCTTGTGTTTCACCAACCAAGCGGGCAGGTGTGCGGGTGCGTCACCGAACAGGACACACTCAGAGCGCCTTCCTGCGAGCTCCCAGGTCAGTCTACTCAGAGCCACGTCACGAAACGGTTACTGCTACACAGAGCACACTGCACCGTGGACGCACGAATGGGGCAGAGCACCAGGGTCAAATCCCTTGAGGGCTGGGGGCTGCCTCGGAGCCTGAAGCTCGGCCCAGCAAGCTGGCCTGTGCTCCCCCACCTCCTGGAGGCAGCAGTTACTGTTCTAGGGTCACAGGAGAAGTCTGAGCGGCACTGACCGGGACCTAACTGCACATCCTGGCCCGCAGTGCACACCCTGGGCCAAGGAGCACGGGTTCCAGGAGCGACGGTGCAGAGCGCAGGCAGTGGCTGCAACCCAGGGCTGAGGAACGGGCAGGTGGCAGGTGGGCGGGCAGAGCACAGTGACACGCAGCAAACTGGAGGCTGGGTGGCACCTCAGGCCAGCTGGCCCGCTGGGTCCTGGACAAATGCTTGCTGGTGGGTTTCCCACGAATGGTTTTGTTTTTCTTTTAAAAAGAAATCTGGACTTTTAAAAAATAGGAGTGATTAGTTTTTAAATGCTGGAAATTATTTTAAAAATGTGAACGTGCAGGACAAGGACTCGAATGCTGAGCACGACCCAGCCAGCAGGAGCCCTGTGGGGACACGAGTCCTTCAGTCCCCACAAAACAGCCCCCAGGCACAGTTTGTAACTGACCGTCGACTGGCCTCAGGGGGAAGGGAACCAGCACGGTCCTCGGGACAGGCTGGCACAGCTACCACCGTTCTAGAGTCAGGGTCCCCCGACCAGCAGTTCCATTCCAAGGAACTTGTTCTTTGAGTACAGAACAGGGGATGTAAGATGCAGGCGTGAAAACAGCCACTGCAGGCAATTCACAGCATCAAAGAACTGGAGAGAACCTGAGTTCTACACTCAAGAGAGGGCAGGTCAAACAGAAGATGGAACCATCCAACAGACGACTAAGCCATCGGTAAAAACAGGGTGAACCTGCTCCGCTGACCTGGAAGGAAAACGAGCTCACACTTAAGTCAAAACCTAGTGAGCACGGTGCCCCCGAGGGGGACCAGGAGGACACTCCCTGGTGTGCCTGTCCGAGTGCATGAGACGCAGGCAGAGCACCCCTCCACCACGCGGCATGGACGCACCTTTCTGGGATTCATGTTTCTCTGTCTTGCCCTGGTAGTCGAAGCCCACGGCGCTCTTGTCCACGCGGTCTGCCTGCACACCGTACTTGCCACCGAAGCCACTCGAGTAGTCTGGGGAGAGAGGAGCCCGATGGCAGGAACACCATCACTGCGGTTCCACTAGGTTGGGGTCCAGCTCACAGGAGGCCACCCACTGTTCCACGAGTGACGCCAGGCCCCTCAACTGTGTGCACAGAAAGCTACGCAGGGGCCCCCGCCCCACACGTCCATGCTGGGCTGAACGGCTGGAGTGTTCACACTGGAAAGTCCCTGGTCACTCGATCACACACAGGAGGCAGGAGGAGCAAAAACCCCTCAAGAGCTCTGGGGAAGCAACATGCTTGTGTTTTAAAGAAAGGCTGAGGGGAGCAGGGCTAATACAGACGAGCCAGTGCCAGGCCGGGCATGGCACAGCAGCTGAGCATCGACCTGGGATCCAGAAGACTGCAGTTCGATTCCCAGTCAGGGCACAGGCCCGGGTTGTGGGCTTGATCCCCAGTCAGGGGCATGCGGGAGGCAGGTGATCACTGACTCTCACCATTGATGTTTCTCTCTCCCTCTCCCTTCCTCTCTGAAAACAATAAAGACATATTAAAAAAAAAAAGAGCCAGCACCGTGCTTAAGGCCTGTGTGCACAGCAACACCACTGGGGACAGGACAGGAGAGCTCTGTTCTCCAGCCCTGGGCGGGGGAGCCAGCATTTTGCCCACAAAGTCAGAGAGTGACCTTCTGGGGGGCCACGCTACTCAGACGCAGGGCGTCATGGGAGCCGCACAGTGGCAGCAGGTGTCAGGGCCCCATGTGCTGCGCGGTGGGACCGCAGGGTCACACGATGCCGCGTGACCATCCCATGAGAGACGCTCCCCAGGAAGGGGCCTCAGGCGGCGAGTGCGCCTCCGCCTCCGCCTCACCTTTCTGGGAGGCATGCTTCTCAGTCTTCCCCTGGTACTCAAAGCCCACAGCCGACTGCAGGGAGAGAAAGGAAAATGCACTTTTAAATGCCTCCCAACGGTTACTGTGAATCCACAAGACCTAAAAAATTTTAAAATGCGAACACCACAGATTCTGACCCATCACTCCCAAAGCCACACGCAGGCCCAGTTAACGCCCAGAGCACCGACGTTTTCCATCTGCACCCCACACAACACTCCAAGCCCGGCGAGCCACCGAGGCCAAGCTGCACCCCGGCAGCCTGTCCTCCCCAGGGCCACTGTTGTGAAGGAGTTCATGGGTTTCAGCCCCTCAGGGCCCCTCGAGAAGACCCTCCCGGGGCACACACTCCCCTTGCATTAACACTGACCACAGGAACAGACACTGGGGGTGTCCCCATGCACAGCCCCAGGAGACAGGCACTAGCTCCCTGTCTCAGACCACAACAACGGGCAGCCAGGCGAGGGTGTGGACCGATATCCCGCTCCAACACCCAGGCCCGCAGCGCAGCATCTAGACCCGAGCACAGCGCCAGGAATGACCTCCCAGTACCCTGTGGGCTTTGAATGCCACCTGTCACAAGTGAAATCCAGGCAGGGAGGGACAGAAACGGTCTCACTGGCACATTCCCGGACAAATCTAAGGTGCCCGGGTGCAGCCAGCCAGTCACCTCAGAACCACAGGGATGAGAGCCCCGCAGTCCCAGAGCCAGAGGCACCTCACGTAACCCCAAGGGGCGCAGAGGACACCACGTGGGTGTTGGCAGCGAGTGCTGATCTAGGGAGAGTTGTCCCCTCGCCCTCCCCCAGCCCTGCTTCCCACGACACACTCACCTGATCAACTCTGTCCACCTGGACACCGAACTTGCCTCCAAAGCCCCGGACGGAGTCGACCTGCGAGCAGTGCTTGGAAAGCTTCGACTGATACTCGTGGCCGACGGCCGACTGCAACAGGAGCAGGAACGGTCTTAGACACCACCCATCGCCACGAGGGACCCTCCCCCGGGGGAGGTCTGAGCAGGACAGCCCCCGTCGCCGTGTGGGTGTTCCTGCCACGCGAGCCGACGGCCGGCCATGCGCTGCGGCAGAGGGGCTGCGGCCTGTGCGCCGCACTGGACTAATCCCCGGGGGTGAGAGTACCCCCCGAGCCGTCCGGGGACCCGTCACATCAGCCAGACGGTGGCTCTGGGCACCCGACAAGACGCTCATGCAAAGCTGTCACGGGGCCAGGCCAGGCACAGGGGAGGGCTAGTCTCAGCCCCTGGGCTCTGTGGGAAGGACAGGACAGTGTGGCAGCAGCAGTGGCAGAGAGGAGCGAGGGGACAGGCAGCCCAGGCTCCTGGGTCGGGCTCACAGGGAAGCTTCTCGGAAGGGAGGCCAGAGTGGAGGCGCAAGGGGGCGGCATCGCCCAGCAGCAGGGGCCGCAGTGGCAGCGATGTGGCTGTCACCAAGCTCTTCCCCAACACCTCCTTTTTCCAACCCAGACCCGGGGACCCCACTTCTACTGAAGTTCTCTTTGCTCTAAGCCCCCCGATCCCGTGAGCACAGGCCCTGTGGGGCGGGAAAGGCTCCTGCCTCCTTGGTTCTCTCACTGCCCTCAGCACACGGGGGTTTTGCCCGCTGGCGCCAAGAAAGCCCCCAGACGCTATTTTGGTATATGTGCTCCCGAAGCAAGCACACGCCAGACCCTATTTTAGGACTGAGATGACTCTGCTCCCCACTGTCCCGGCCTCAGCACCGAGACGTCTCCAAGAATGACAGCCACATGGTCCAAAGTCCCTGTCTCTTTCCTGCAGCTCACTCCTCATCCGACCCCAGCTTCGGCTAATTCTGGACATGGTTTGGGGAGCCCACAGGCGCCCCACACATCCGCTCTGTGGTGACAGTGCAGAGCACTGTGACACAGCTCAGAGGCTGAACCCGAGCCGCACACGAGGGACAGGCGTGGAATTTCAGAGCAGAACCCGACACCGGCATCCTCCTGCCACAGATGGGAGGCAGCCTCTGCGGGTCAGCCCAGCTCGCGCTGCTCAGGCCGGGGCCGCCTCCACCGGGAGCAGCAGAGCGTAAGGAGCTGCCCACTGGGGGAGGACCCCCGACAGCCCCCTCTGCCCTCTCTCCACAGGGACGCCAGCCTCCCGAGCTGCCTGCGCCCTGTGCTGCCCACGCGAAGCATTCAGCCAACTCTGCCACCACCGTGAGCTGGCACTCGCCTGGCCCCGGTTCACACACAGGGCGTGCTCTCCCCTCCGCCGGGCGGGCAGGGACATCAGGCCACAGGCCGGGCCACTCTGGAAGGTCACCGAGTGCACGAAGGGTGTCGGTGTGCCTGTTGGCTGCATTTTCACCATGAACAGGGCCCCAGGTCTTGTTCGGGTCTCCACCCCATCCCTGTGTGGTACGATTTAAGGGGCACTGACCAGCGCCTGCAGCCCAGGTGCCTCTGGACCACTGTCCTGGTCCCAGAGCTGGGCTCCTGCAGCTCACCCACTCCAGCACCTCAGACACGAGAGCGTCCCAGCAGCGGGAGCACCTTGTGAGCAAGTCGGGTGACGCAGACTCTCAGCAAATCTCCTCCCCAACCGCTCGACTCAAAACTTAACCTGACGAACGGGTCTGAGTGACAGCTCTGCCACCCAGGTGAGATCAGAGCAGGCCAGGAACCCGGCACGCAGCCGCCGACCACTTACTTTGTCCATCCTGTCCTGCTCCACGCCAAACTTCCCTCCATAGCCGTGCGAGGCTTTGGGTCCTGTCTCCAGTTCCTTCTCCTTGAGGCTCTGGTGCTCCTGGTACACGTGCTCCCTCAGCTTGTGGATGCTTCAGGGGAGGGCAAAGCAGGGCAGGGCCATCAGATAGCGTGCACGCTCCCCCTAGGACGCACGGGACAGGACCCACCGACCCGGGGCCTCCCACCCTGCCCTCACGGTGCTCTCCTCACGGTCCTGCCAGCGGGCCCAGGTGCGTGGCCACTTTAGGGAACCACATCTGCACCCACACGGGTGTCCCTCACCCCCCCGAAGGCAGCTCCCCTGAATGTGAACTCTCCTTATTTATTTCACATGGAGAAAAGCCTCTCAGCTTTACTAGGTAACTGGGTCAGGAAACCTAGCTCTGTGGGTCGCCCGGGCAGAGGAGGGAGCACAGTCGGGGCCCTTTCCCCAGGTATCCTGGGACACGGCTCGGAGCCCAGAGACACAACACACTCAGGTGGCCTCTCTTTGCCTGAAGTAGTGCAGCTCTTTATATGCTCAAAGGCGCAACGGAAGACTTTCAGAGCGTACAGTCTAAGGGCCACTGTTTACTGAGACGCCAGGCACAGAGAAACAGATGGTCAGATGTGATCAAAAGCCACCCGCCAGGAAGCCCCTGCAGCTGTCCCTGTCGGGAGGCCCCCGAGGGGCCCGAAGCTACCTCCCATAGGGCCTTTCTGCCCTGGGGACGCCAGGCCCACACCTCCAATACCTGGACAACCCCACAAGAGTGACTAAAACACGGCAGCTTAAACACAACTCAGGCCCTCAGCAGCAGGGGGAGGAAGTTATGGCTCCTAAAACCCTGGAGGGACCCAGGGCACCAACGGCTGTCCTGCTGCCCCACGCGGACTCTCTGAGATCCAGCAACCCAACCCGTCCTCCCCAACCTGCTTCCACGCCATGGGGAGCAGAAACGAGACAGGAACGGGTGACTCAGCCAATTCCAGAGTTGGCCTAACCGCACAGCCAAGGGCCCAGCACTGTGCCAGCCCCGAGCAGCCCCCAGGCCCAGTGCCTCTCACCACCCCAGCCCCTGAACACCCCAAAGCAGCTTCCGTGCTGCATGCGAAGTGCACAGCGAGGCTGGGATGACCCTGTGTCTGAGGCCGGACCGCCCACGCGGGTGACTCACTGGGTCCACCTCAGGCCAGAGCAGCCTCCTCATGCTGCAAGGGCCTCGGGGCCAACTGAGACGGCTCTCCCTCCACCGACTCAAGCAGGTCTCTGGGCAAGAGACGGTGCCCTCGGCGAGGGAAGGGGGCGTGCACACTGAACCTGGCGCAGCCACAATGGCGGTCTGGTGCTTTTTTTTTTAACCTTCACCCAAGGATATTTTCTCCACTGCTTTTCAGAGAGTGGGGAGGGGAGAGAAACATCGATGTGGGAGAGAAACATCCATCGGCTGCCTCCACCATGCACCCCGACCGGGGATCGAGCCTGCGACTGATGTACATGCCCGTGGCCAGGACCCTTCAGTTCAAGGGCCAACACTCCAACCACCGAGCCAAACCGGCCAGTCTGGTGCCTTTTACAAGTCCCTTCTACCTGCACCTCCCGAGGTGGCCATTCAAGCCAGTGCCACGTCAGGAACAGGGACACGCTGCTTGGTTCTCCTGAGCTTTGCATGAGAACTTGATGCTTCAGCTCACGGTCCTCAGTGGACAATGATAAAGTAATAAAATTTGTGAAAATGAAGGCGGCATGCCAGGTCTCAGAAGGTAGAAATACACGTCCCGGGTCAGAAACTTGCTCTCGTACCAGGGGCTCAGGCGAGTGTGCGCCCTGAGAGAAGCCACAGCAATGGACGGGGAGGCTCGAGCTGTGAGTGCGTATATGCACGCACACACGTGTGCACACGCACAGCATGCACACAGGCACACACACGTCTCACACCCGTCTACTCTAGAATCATCGGGTCACAGGAGAAAACAAACCAGTCCGAGCACAGGTGGGTATCGCGGTCAACCAGGCAGGGGACTCCGTTTTGTCCCTCAGACCTCACTTCCCACCGAGGTTAAGAAAACTCTTACTTGCCCGGCCGGCGTGGCCCAGCGGCTGAGCATCGACCCAGAATCCAGGAGATCGCGGTTCCAGGCCCGGGCTGCGGGCTCCATCCCCAGTGAGGAGTGTGCAGGAGGCAGCCGATCAATGACAACTCTCATCACTGACGTTTCTCTCTCCCTCTCCCTTCCTCTCTCTAAAATCAATAAAGACGTATTTAAAAAAAAGAAAAGCAAGCTCTTACTTGATGTGCTCCTGGTGCCCAGACCCCTGCACGGTTTTGGCGCCCCATCTCTGCTCTTTCTCACTCACGTCGTTCTGAAAAAAACAACAAATGGCAAATAAATCCCAAGGCCTGGGCTGTAAAACAGACTGACCGGGAACCACCCAAACAGAAACCTCGGGAAGTCACGTTCAGGAAAACGGACGTCAAGGTGGCCCGCGGGTGACTCACAACGAAATCGGGGTCGGTTTCCCAGTCGTCGGCGCCCCCGTCGTCCTGGGCGATGGACACGGCGTGGCCTGCCGAAGCCTTCCACATCTGCGGGGCAGCGCAGGGTCAGGGGGCGGGGGTCAGGGAGGCCACGCACACCCTCCGCCCAGAACTGCCACAGCCCTGAGACACCCGGAGGGCTGGGGCCAGGTGACCAGAGCTGCCCTGTCATCCCTGAGCCTGAATGACAGGGTGGAAACATTGTGACACAGGAGGACGCAACAGTGTAGCTCTCACGCTTGTCTGGGCACCAGGAATATACCAGGAATACCCTGGCTTCAGCCCCAGTGAGAAAACTGTCTGGAAAACCAGTCACCTGCCCACTTCCCTTCACGAGAAATCCAGCTCTGTCCCACTGTGTGTCGTGTTGTGACAGCTCGAGCCGCCCCACTGTGAATATACTGAATGTCACAGGGGTGAAATATCATATTACAGGCATCTTATCACAATTTAAAAAGAGAAAGCACCCGGTTTGATTTCAAGTATTACTGGAAAAGTAGCCGTGAATTTTTCTTTTTTTGTTTTGTTTGTTAATCCTCACATGAGGATATTTTTTCCATTGCTTTTCAGAGAGAGGGTGGAAGGGAGGAAGGAGGGTGGCAGAAGAGAGGGAGAGAGAAACATCGATGTGAGAGAGATACATCGATTGGCTGCCTCCCAACCGGGGCCGGGGATGGAGCCTGCAACCCACGTACGCGCCCTTGGCCAGGAAATCGAACCTGCAACCCTTCCCTTTGCAGGCCGACGCTCTAACCACTGAGCAGCACCGGCCAGGGGAGCAGTGAGTTTCTTAACACAGACTCCACAGGCCAGTGAGCACGTCAGGCGGGAAGTTATCAGAGGACTGCTCTGCCGTCTGTCTCAGAAATACATGCTGACGGTTCCTCTGCCAGGCAGCCTGTCCTTCCCCACACGTGAACTCTAAGGTTTCATCTTGTTCGGAGAGCAGTGACACAGCTCCCCCTGAACAGAGCGAATCTGTCCGTAACCACACACGTATGCGAGAAGGGACTCATTTTCCGCAAAGGCTCTGATAAACCTCATGCAGGCCAGGCAGCGGCAGGCGAGCCGGTTTAAGTCAATCACCAGGAGCCCCACGGGGTGTCTGAAAGGAGGGCGTCCAGGTCAGACTCCAAGTGGCCCCTGGCGGGGGCTTCTGTGCTGAATGAAGGCAGGACAAAACCCCTCACAGCCTGACAACCTACTCCCACCCCACCTCCTCCAATGGGTCTCCGGTCCGAATTCAAGGTGGTACTGAGCGAGAATCAGGGCACCACTCTCAGATTTCCAGATGCGATTCCTGCCGCCGGCACTGGGCAGGGAGTCACCTGGGCAGGGAACCGGCAGCTGATGGTAGGGCAGGACCAACTAAGCCCTGTCTAGGCCGCTCTGCCTAGGTGTCCCAAAGCTCGAGACTCTCCCAGGTGTGACCTGCTACTGACAGCATTTTAGAGCAAACAGACTAAAACCTCTGCTTGGGAGGCACCCCACTGAGCCCACTGACAAAGGAAACAGCAGCTGCCCGAGTTCGATGATCTGCCTGCAGTGTCTGTCTCCCCAGGTCACCTCAGCCCTCCCCACAGGGGCCTGGATGGGGGCTGTCCACCTGCGGGGCGTCAGCTCCTCTACATAGTTCCAACTATTAAGGACAAGGTCAGACCAAAAGACCAGAGTCTCTGAGGAGGCCACGTCCCTGAGGCAAAGGTGAAAGCCGGTGACTCTGCCTCCTGTGTTTTCACTTATCAGGAAAACAGGAGCAGAGCCCAACCTTCACTGAGCTAGCTGGAAGCCAGACTCACTGTGGCAGGCGAGCAGGTCCCTGGCGGCCATGCCTCGTGGCCCCTCGCACCTCCCACGGAGCAGGGACAAGAGGCTGGACCGCTTCCTGTTCCTCCCCTCAAGGGTCTCTGCAACCCCCCCTTCAAAACCACAGGCCATACTTGGAACTTGACTTTACTTTTCTTAAATATATATATACATATATGTACATTTATATATATATATATATGTTGTTGTTTTTTTAATTGATTTTAGAGAGAGGACGGGAAAGGCAGAGAGAGAGAGAAACACCAATGATGAGAGAGTCATCGGTCAGCTGTCTCCTGCACACCCCCGATTGGGGATCGAGCCCGCAACCCGGGCATGTGCCCTGACCAGGAACTGAACCTCGATCTCCTGGTTCATGGGTCAACTCTCAACCACTGAGCCACACTGGCCGACTTGACTTTATTTTTTAAACGAGGAAATTCGTGAATATGACTGTCCGACCTCTGCGAACCCAGTGGTAAAGCACCAGCACCCCTCCCTGTTCTCAAGATGGGGCTACCTGCCCGCCCAGGAGACAGGGCTTACTCGCCCACTCGGGACCGGCAGTACCCACGCACAACATACACACCTTTCTTTCCGGTGGGAGATGGGTGGCTGCTCACAGAACTCTGTTTAAAAGGCAGTGATCCAACGAGGAATCCCCGGGCATCTGGAAACAAGTCCGTCTGTGACAAGATTACAGGGTAAAAGCTCAGAAGGGCCTCAGCTGACAGCCGCTCTGGGTAAACAGCTCCAAAACTCTCCCAGCGAAGGAATCTACACAGAAATCTCACAGCAGGGTGCGAAGGTTTGAATTTTACTAATAACCAAAGAGCTCGAGGCTTCTCAGACACACTGAGAAGCTCCCAGAACTGTGTAGCTGTGTGTGTTCTTTGGGCAAACCGACAAGACCGCCCCCTTGCCAGCACATGGCCCGTCTGCTATAACCCGGGAGGTTTCCATGTTCCCTTCACTCAAATGTATGGCATTGCTAAAAATAAAAAAAAAAAAACTATCCCTGCAAGCTTACAGAATACTAACGTGAAAAACTCCCTGCAGGGATCATGCGTGGCCAGGAGAAACCCAGCAGCATGACAGCTCCAGGGACGTAAGAGTGGGGTGTCTCGGGGCACAGAGAACTGGCTGCATTTCCAACATGCGGATCTGGTTACTGCGCAGAGATCAAGGCTCCGACTCCCCGGGGCCACTCTCCCCGCCTCTCCCACAAGCTAACGCACGGCCCTGGCTGGGCACCGCACTGCTGGGCCGTGCAGAGCAGGTAGAGCTCCCAGCTCCCAGAACGAGCCATCACAGGCAGCTTGTCATGAACCGGCCACTACTGGCCGTCCCCACACTCAACTTCCTGCCCAGTTCCTGACCCACGACTCGCTCCTCCTCCCCCCACCCCCCCAGTCCCTTCTGGAAACCCGGACTTGTGTGGGCTGCTCCGTGTGTCCTGGGCACAGCCGTGACTACTGTCACCAGCCAGCACCTACACTCGCCAGGAGCCACCAGTGACAGGCTCAGTTCTACAATAATTTATTGTCCTCTCGGTATTTTAAATTTAAAAATAAAAATCTCAAAAATAACTGAAAAATGAAAACCTTGGGTACTTTTTGGATCCAAAGACAACGCCTCCGGACCCCTACCGCACACTAACTGCAAAAATTCGCTCAAAAGTGTATCAAAGGCCTAAATGTCTGAGCTAAAACTATTAAACCCTTACAAGAAAACAAAGGCACAGATTTTCATAGCCTTGAATTTGACGAACAGGGGACACCGAAAGCACGAGCGAGCAGAGGAGAAGTAAACTGGACGCAACGTAAAACTCAGTGTGTCAAAGGACAGCGTCCAGGAAGTGAAGGCAACCAGCAGAACGGGAGAACCTACTTCCAAGTCAGTATCCAGGAGACATCCAGAACTCTTACCCCGCAATCAATAAAAAGGAGACTCAAACGCATTTAAAAACGACTAAACAGACACTGCGCTAAAGACATGCAAATGGCTAATAAGCTCCTGAAAAGATAGTATCCTTAGCCATGGGGAGATGCAAATCAAAACCACCGGAGCCACCACTGCGCACCTAACATTGGGGCGCAGGCAGAGCGAGTCTGGAAAGGGTGTGCACAAGTCAGAGCCCCCAGACTGCTGCTGGGAACGTAAAATAAATAACAGGTTGGCAGTTCCTCAAGGTTAACCCTGGGTGGACACCCAAGAGGAGTGAAAACTGACGTCCACACAAACACACGCACAGGGATGCTCAAGGCAGCAGTGTTCACAACAGGCCCGAGTGGAAACAACCCGCATGGCCGGGTTATGTAACAGACACATAACACGTGCTCCATCCACACGATGGAGTATTATTTGGCAATAAAAAGCAGCGAAGTCCCAACACACGCTACAACGTGGGTGACTTGAAAACATGCCACGCGTGAGAAGCCAGACACAAAAGGCCACATGTTACACAGCCCCATTTCTATGAAATGTCCAGAACTGGGAAATCATATAGAGACAGAAAGCAGATTGGCCTCATACTGGGAGGAAATAGGGGGAGGAGGAGCGTTACAGGATATCTTTTTTTAAAAAATCAATATGTTTTTATTGATTTTAGAGAGAGGAAGGGAGAGGGAGAGATAGAAACATCGATGTGAGAGAAAAACATTGATGGGTTGCCTCCTATATGGGGCCTGACTGGGGGACCAACCCCACAACCTGGGCATGTGCCCTGACCAGGAATTGAACCAGTGACCTTTCCGTGCACAGGGCAATGTCCAACCAACTGAGCCACACTGGCCAGGGCCAGGGTTTCCTTNTGAGAGAAAAACATTGATGGGTTGCCTCCTATATGGGGCCTGACTGGGGGACCAACCCCACAACCTGGGCATGTGCCCTGACCAGGAATTGAACCAGTGACCTTTCCGTGCACAGGGCAATGTCCAACCAACTGAGCCACACTGGCCAGGGCCAGGGTTTCCTTTTGAGGTGATGAAATTAACCTAAAATTCACTGTGGTGATGATTATACCACTCTGTGAAAAGACTAAAAACTACTGAATTGTACTCTTCAAATGGGTGTAAAATTACATGGTATGTAAATTATATCTGGATAAAGTTGTTACCAAAAAGCACTGTTCAAATAGAAGGTAACACCTCCACCCACTATTAACACACAAATAGTAAACCCTCCTTGCAAATGTCACAGGTACAAATTAAGGGTGAAATAACCGCAAGGGTGAAGTAACCTCACAGGGTCATATAAACAGGGGAAAAGGCCTCTACAGAGGAATGCTCTAAACGCAGAATTAGCTTTCCATTAACCTCACTATCGCCAGAGGAGCAGAAAATCTGAGAACCAGCATGCATTTGACCAGCCAGACAGCCCAGGGCCATTCCCTGCACCCCAGTCACTCAGGGGACACCCTCCCCTCCTGCCTGCCTTGGGCATATTTACTGTTTACTAAAAGCACCTGCCTGGGCCCTGACAAGACAGAAAGACAGGCCTCGGCAGACAGCCCGGCTGCCCCAGGACATTGGGTCCCGCTCTGCACCGAAGGCCGACCCAGCACTCGGGACTCACTCAACCACTTTCTGAGCAAGTACCCAAGGCGGAATCTCAATTACGTCCATTCAGAAGTAATTTAAAGATAAGTCCACCGAAATCCTTCAACTGAAAGCCGGCTGTGGTGGGGTGTAACCTCCAGTTCCTGGGGAATCAAGTTCCAAAGCCAAGTTCGAGGCCCCGGCTCTCCGGCCTGTTGGGGCGCCGCCGGCAGGGCCCCTCCTCGCTCCCGGCGGACCTGGGAGCAGTTTCCTAACCGGGGAGAGCGAAACGGGGCCGGGCCGGGCCGTCGCCGCGCGGCGCCCGGAGGTGACTCACCGCGGTCGGCCCGGGAATGCGGGCGGGGA